CAATATGTACGCAACAGACTATTACGTCCTCAACCTAATAAATTTAACAAGTATCTGCATAAAGACAACTGATCATTTGACAGTAAAGAGTGAGTAGCAAAATGAATACCCAAGACAAATGTCAAATAACGTAGCATATTTAAATGCTTCAATACCTCAACCCAAGTTTTGAGAAGCAAAGGTTTCCTGGCCACAACAGCGTTGACAAGATCATCTTTCAAAGGCATGTTCTGATCCACCAGCACATGAGTGCACTCTTGTCCTATTGCATTTGTAATGCGACCACCTATTATGAACATAAAAGTTGGCCAGTGTTCACTATAATGAAAGATCACAGTATTTAAAAAGGTTAAGATACTCTAAAGACCCGAGGCTGATGCTGCACCAAAGATATGTTCCCATTTTAAATCTGTTTAATATATTTTAAAACTTATGACCGAAAAAATTAAGAACTTTAAAGACCATTCTGCATTTCTGCTCGATCAACAAGTGTCTATTTGGCTGTTCTATTCAAAATAATTCTTTTTTCTGGGAAAAAAATCTTCCACAATAACTCTGATGCTTGTTTGCCCTCAACCAAAATACATGGATTTAGAACCTACTTTTTATATTGTGGAAGAGAAGTAGCTATTTGGAGCTTCTACTAAAAATGGAAACAGAAAGCAGAAGGAAAATTTAAATAGCAGCTATTCATAAACTGCCTTTTCACAATTGACTATTTTGATAGCAAAATTTTTACACCAAGGTGCCACGAGCTCTACATTTAGAAGACAAGCAGAGTGGATATAGGTGTCATATGAAAATGCCATATTTTAGAAGTTATCATTATCAAAGACATGCACAAACTCTATTTTCTCTGTTTTTTTTTCTAGCTATAATGCAAACTCTATTTTCTTTACAGCATATTTATAAGTTTCTTCCAATATCAGTAATTAGTCGCACTGCTAGAGACCAACAAACCATAAGTAATGGGTAGAATCAACATGAATCAATGCTTACGGGACTAACAAGTTGGATTATGATATTTCAATCTGTAAGGAACTAGGAACTTCAGGTGCTAAATCAGTTTTCAAAGAATGCATACAAACAGAACAATAAGAAGAACTGAACAGCCTCTAAAAGGTTTTCCTCACTGACCAAATGATGAAAGTCTCTCTTCTAGAGATTGATCTGCTTTATCCAACGAACAGATGAAGAAAACTAGCGGGACATGGGAAAACCTGTTAAGTTTTATGTAAAATGTGTTAAAGCAGGATTCAGCTGTGAATTTTATGAGCTAAGAACTACATCACAATAAAATGCATTTGGAACCATAAGATCGGGGAGAAAAAGTGAGCACAAGTAATAAAGGACAGCCATAGTAGGAAGTCCATTCACATACCTGTAGGTTGCACTACCAGTTCCAAAAGATATAAGATCACAATCCTCTAGTGTTGCTTCTTTATTTGGAAGCTCATGAACTTTTCTCTTGGGCCCCGCATTCTTGCTAATAAATGTTCCATATTTAGAGCAATCTCTAATTAGTACTCTGGATGATAAGCAAGAGGGCTCATTAGTCATTGCCTGAACGACAATTTCAGCGTGAACCCGTGAAACCCCTTTATCTTTGGTGATGATCACATCACAATCTGTAAGTGGCAACTAACAAGTTATCAGTATATGATCCATGAAGTCCAGAAAAATTGTAATGAATTTATGATTATTCAATAAAAATTTTCAGACACAGGAACACAGAAAGCAGCCAAATGTGATAACCAAACATTTCTAAAATGGCAACTTAACATAAGATCAAGAACTCCAGACTCTCCCTTCTCCTCCATAAAATGGCAATAAATTTCAACATGCTTTGTTCTAGCATAATGAATTAAGTTTTTTTTTGCAATGCTCACGTAGCAGCCAAATTATCACATAGTACCATAATAGGATCTTGACAAGGTATCCTGAATTCAGAAAGCAGGCATGACTAATTGACCTAAATGACTCACTGTCACCTGAATGGCACAGATGTGGAGCATGAAGTATAAGTTCAACTTAGTGAAAGACCTGAATGTAATTCTGGAAAGAATAAGCTCCCATCAACAATGTAGAACAACAGTCCTACCAAGGATTTTCCTCCATTGCAAATAACTTCAGAAGCATACAACAACACAGTTCTTAATTCTTTTTCATAAAATGAAGAGATAAAATATATAAAGAAAGCGCCATTTTAGGCCAACTTGGTGATACACATTGGATCATACTAGTCCAGTTTGTACCCTTGGGAGTTTTGTTAGGTCTTTCATTTTCAAGTTTAGGAGCGTTTTTCTTTTTCTTTTGCCTTTTTTGTGGTATCTATGTTTCACAGTATGCAGCATGTATGCATCATCAGTAAGGTAGACCTTTCACTGCAAGAAGGTAACATAATTAAGACCAATAAATACCTGTACAGCAAAAGAATTAGTAGGAATACCGTACCTTTTCGCCCCACTTTGTAGCTTCCACATCTAAAAATGTAGTACTTATCTTCACCTGTCAATATATCATAACATATAAAAGTGATAGAAAGATGCAATATTCATTAGTAGTGCAACTCACCAAAGACTCTGTATGATTAAAAAAGAAAATGCCTAATTAAAATAATGCCAGGTAGAAGACTTGTAACAAACAATAGCTACATAATAATATGAAAATAAATGGAACATGAATAAAATCTGTTTACTGAAATCAGACATTTAAAATCCAAGACATAAAGCTCAGTGTGTGTTTAATCACAAGATTTTTGAAATCTTCTCTGTAGCCATAAATGGGTCAACCGCAAAGAAAATAAAAGATTTAATCCCCTCAAGGGTTTAGTTTCCGTTTCATCCAAACTTGTGTGGACAGTATCAAGACGAAAACTTTGCCATATTTTTTAACCAATAAGATCAACTCTGAATTAGAGCTTGCAAATAGTAAAGTTCGTAGTAACCGTAACTGTCAGTATCTATCCACCCATACCCAACATTTCAACAAGAACATAGAAACAGGAAAAGAAACTTACCTGAAAGAGGGTCGACGGGGGAGAGACCCCACACCATTTTGCTTCCACGTTTCTCCTTCGTTAATTCTTAGCAAACTCCCGCGGAGCCTGGCTGGCTGTTTGGCAGAAGCGAGGAAGAGAAGCACGACGCTAATCAAGCAACGACATGCCGTTTGTCTATCACCCAAACGGCAGTGGATTCTAAAAACACAGCATGCTTCACTGTTGGATACCTTCAAAATCAATTTTGTTGACCAATTATAGGACTCTTAAGCATGATTTAACATATAACCAACTCCCATAAGTGTGTTTGGATTAGAAATGGGTAAAGTAGAGTTTATAATAATCTTGATTTTATAAGCATAATTTTGGCAAAATTTATTTAAGTAAAATAGGGTGTTTGGATAAATTTTTAAGCATGTATGATTGAAAAGCAAGTAGTAATAACTTCTAATTTTGGTTTTATAGTTAACTCTGACATATACCGGAGTATTTGATAGTTTACAAAAGAATCATAGTTAACTCTAAGTTCAAAATTAGAAATTTGGCATGTATAAAAAATATTTGAATATTTTAAAAAATGGTTTTACCATATTTTTAATTCTATTTTTCAATTATATTAAAAATCAATTTTGTAAATCAAGTAAACCTAAATTCTGTTTTTGGACTCAAATCCAAGCATGCTTTACATTGTTTGAATTGATTAGAAAAGAGGAAAGGGAGGGGAGGAGTTCTAGGAACTAAGGATGTACATGAGGCCCACATGCCCAATAAGCCTACCCGAACCCACAAAAAAAGCGTCTAACCCAACCCAGTAAAAAGCTGCCCAAGCAAAAATGGACATCTTCGAGTCGGGTTGATTCACGGGCAGGACAGGGCCAAATAGGTAGGGCAACATACCCTGCCTATATATAAGATAATATTATTGTAAGTAATTATCTTTTTTATTTTGGCTAAAAAAATTAGGTAAAATTAGAAAAAAAATGAAAGGAACATAAAAATTATAATTATAGAAAAGAGCTAAATATCAAAATATAAGATTCAATATGCTAAATTATTCTAAGTCAAATTTCCTTCTTTTTCTCTTACATCCAATTTTTTTAAAACAAACAAAAAATAAAAATAAAACCACCTTTCAAATTTTGTGCTTTCACATGATTATAAGAATCCGCCAACTATATAAATAAACTAAGAAATTGAACTACTGATTTAGCTTAATTATTAAATTTTTTTTTTACCTCCCATAAGAAATCAAAAGCTGAAGAACAAGACTACATAGGCCTTATATATATATATTTATATATATATATATATGAATGATAGACTCATTCGTGCTAATTTTTTTTCCTCTCACTTGTCTCAAAACACGATAATTGAATTTTTTTTTTTACATATGATATAGGGCATGGTATCATTCAATTGGGCAGAAAAACATGCCTTGCTCAGCCTGTCCTTGTCCTGCCCAAAATAGTTAGGACTTCTACTGGGCAAGGCCGGGTTTTACAGCCCACTCATCTTTCGGGCTAAGCATTGGGCAAGAGGCTTGCCCTGCATAGTCTTGTCTATGTGCAGCCCTACTAAGAACTAACGAGAAGGGAAAGTACTTTGATATGATAACTGTAATTTATTTCATATAAGTTATTTTTTAAAAGACTTTAATAAAACATAAAATCACAATTTTATAATTATCTTTATATATTTAAAATTATATTTTACAATTATAATCCCAATATACACAATAATAATTATAAAGATGGCAGTACTTACATCAAGTTTTCATATCTATCATGTTAAGTTCTCGTATAGCATATATCCACATATCCTGCTTTGATAAACTCACATAAAAAATGACGAGGCCATATGCTTGGTAAAATAAATATAAAAAATTTGGTCTAAATGTTTTTTATAAATATTATAATCATAATATGTATCCATTAATAAAAAACAATTGTTTTCCAAACAAAAGTGGAGTGCGGCGTTTTGCATGGGCCAAGGCGCCAAGCCCCCTTCCACATCTTCAGCCAGCAGCGATTCAGACACCGGGGAGAGGGAGGCTAAACAGTAGGAGCATCTACACTCGGAATTGTGCTATCAGCACCGACGGACCTACGATAATCTCGGAGCCCCTCAACTTTGTTAGTGTGGTTCTTCAAATTATGTCCCCCATTTATTCCCAGATTTCGCATCCACTCACTGAAGCTAGTTGAGAGAGCAGAAGAAGCACAGATAGAAGAGAAAGAAAGTGAAGATTAAAGGGAGAGAGGCGAGGTGGTGAAAGTCTGAACCCTCTTTTAATTATACGGGCAAAATTGTTAGTGTGGTTCTTGACTCGCTTTTCTGGTAAAGATTCTTTTTTTGGGCAAAATTTCTATTATAGATTCTGAAACTTGTGTTTCACTGGTATGGGGCTTACTGTGTTCGAAAAAATGCCGAACTGAGATAGGGGGCTAGCGCGCCGAGAGAGAGAGAGGAAGGGGTATCTGATTGTGCAGTGAAATGGTGACCTACCTGGTGAAATTTCTAAGAAAAAATCCGGTCAGTCATTTTATATGTGTTCGGTCAAAAACGACATCTTCCCAGTATGTAGCTTCTAGGGCTAGAGACCCCACGTTTGAGAAGCTGATGGACAAGTACAAAAACTTTCTCAAAGTCATTGCAATTCAGGATCTTATCCTTGCAAACCCAAAGAAGCAGTCAGTCTCAGTTGAATTTCTCTCCAGACTCTCCCAGAAGCTCCATCTCAACCGTGGTGCCACCGCTTTTCTGCGCAAGTACCCTCATATTTTCCATATTTTCTATGAACCAAGTAAGTCCCAGCCATTTTGTAAATTAACTGATGCTGCTCTCGATATTTTCCATCAGGAAGCAGTAGCCATCAATGATTCGATACCTGTTGTTATTGATAGGCTAGTCCGGATACTGTCCATGTCTGCATCTAAAATGGTACCTCTTCGTGCTATTTTCAAGGTTTGGCGGGAACTTGGGCTTCCTGATGATTTTGAGGACTCGATTATTTCTCAAAATCCTCATCTCTTTCAACTGTGCGATGCTCATGAACCTAATACTCATTTATTGAAACTGGTTGATGTGCTTCCCAACAGTCATTTTACAGCAGCAGTTGAGAATTGGAGGGTTGTTGAATGCTGTAAAGAAGATTGCAAGCTCGATCGAACGGAAATGCAGTTTAGTTTCAAACACACGCATCCTCCAGGGATGAGGCTGAGTAAGAGTTATAAGGCCAAGGTGAAGAAATGGCAGAGTTTGCCATATTTGGGTCCATATGAGATGATGGGTGAGAAGAAGAAATCCAAGGCTGGAATGATGGCTTTAGAAAAAAGAGCCGTGTCAGTTGTTCATGAATTCCTTGGCTTGACAGTGGAGAAGATGATTGAAGTAGAGAAGATAAGCCAGTTCAGAAAATGGTTTGGGATTGACTTGAACATAAGGGATTTGTTCCTGGATCACCCGGGGATATTCTATTTGTCAACTAAGGGAAAACGGCACACTGTATTTCTGAGGGAAGCTTATGAGAGAGGGTGTTTGATTGAACCAAATCCTGTGTACGAGGCAAGGAGAAGGCTTCTTGATCTTGTTCTTTTGGGACGTCGGGGTCTACCTGCTGTTAATTCCAAGTACCAGGATCGAAGCGGTGACAATGAGGATGAACAAGAGTATAGCCGACAAAGACATGACTCATAATCTCCTTGACAGGAGCTTTACGACACTTGCAACGATGACAAGGTTCTATTTTCCTTGTCGCATGACTGTCTTTGATGTTTATGTTTCTGCTGCTGGTACAAGGTAATTCATTCCATGAATAACTCTGCCTTTTTAAGAGGTTGAATATTTCAACTATTAGTTCTGAAGATGCTTGCTATTGTAATGAAGATGAAAACTTTGATCTCAAATTTTCTGGACAAGTCATTAGCAGATGCACCTTATGGAGATGTTGGGTATCTGGAAAATATCCTATTTAATGAGAGGCTTTTCTATGGTAGCGTGAATGGTTGAAATGTCTTTTTAATACTTTTTCGTTGTGTTGCTGCCTTAATTTGAGCTGACAATCGATGACATGTAATTTTAGTTATCTTTTTGTGACATTAAAAGGATGCAAAAGTTCTATATAGCATCTACTATTCTACTTAGCATTATAACTTTTGCTGCAGAGGCAAAATACGATGCCACAGTTCCTGATTCTTTTATATTCTCTGATTTTCAATATTGTGGTAGCTCTTAGACGGTTCCTCTCCGAAGAGTGCATGGCAATCAAAATGGAAGACTTTTCTTGGGGTGTTGCTACCATATTTGTTCAAGAATTGCTCCAGAGGAAGAGGCAAGGGCTTGAACATGACATCTATTTTACCTTGGGGAAACCTCACGGTACTCATTCATACCAGTGGCTAGAATCTCCAAATTCATATGATACTGGAATCTGCACATGTCTGTACGCAGATAAATTAGCAATATAAAGAATTTTCTATATATTTTTTGTTTTTTCTCTGACCTCTAAGAGTTGTACTCTTTACTTTAGATCCTGAACCATGTCAAGTCAAATACTACTAGCTAGTGCACTAAGGGGCAATAGTTAAGATGCATTTGTGTAGTCCTTATTTTGTGCCAATAAAATTTATAGAAAATTAGTTGTGTGATAGATTTACTTTGATACTTTGGAAACACTAAAGTTTGCTTCGAAAATTATATATCTATCTAGTTTCAATGATGGCTTTCTTAGATTTTTTTTTTTCATCTTCGTAATAAAATGAAAAAAGGGTTTTAGTTTATTTTGTTTTTTAGTATTTGGTGCTTAATATGCATTTGTGTAGTCCTTATTTTGGTGCCAATAAAATTTATAGAAAAATAGTTGTGATGATAGATTTACTTTGATACTCTGGAAATACTAAAGTTTGCTTTGAAAATTGGCTTTCTTAGAATTTTTTTCATCTTTGTAACAAAATGGAAAAAGCTTTTTAATTTATTTTTTTTACCAAAGAAAAATATAGGTTTTAAGAATTAAGGTTTAAATGGTTAAAAAAAGGAAGAAGCAAAATTAAGGTTTAAGATTTTGGTTTTTGTTGCTTGCGATTTTAAAACATATGGTTCAAAGTTTAAATAGTTTTGGTTTATTCTGCAGCACGCTGAAAACATGCCATCGTGTAGTGTGGGACATCATCATATGCTCCTGAAAATGCTTCACTTCGGACTAAGGTTTCTCAAGGAACCTGAGAATCTTTTGGTAATGCATGACTCTCTTATGGCTTAATTTATATAGGATTGGAAGGGTAGCCTGTTAGTGGAAACTAAGGTGTGTTCTTCCAATATTCTTGACCATTATTCAAGATAAACTATATTTTAAGACCCCTGTTTTATATGAGCATGGATATGGCCTCTGTTATTAATTTTTCTGAATATATTGGTTCTTGGTGTCCAAATACCACTAGCACTGTTCTCAACACTAATTTAAAGGTGAGGTGATTATTTGTTATTAAAAAAAAAAGGATGAAGTAATCACAAAACATCTCAGTGTACGCATCATAATTTAGGCTCCCTATTGACTAATTTGAGGAGGAGAAAATTTTTGAAATATTGAGTAATTTTATCCAAGGGACATGCACAAGTGAAGTTTGTTGGATCTTATTGCAGTAGGAAGCTCTGCAGTATCCATAGGGCATTTGCATATACTAGCAATTGAAAAGCATTTCTCCTCTGGTTCGTTTTTCCTCTAGTTATAACTTAATCTCTATAAGAATATTTCAATTTTAAATTCTAAAAAGATTGTTACCTTGAGATTTTTTTTTTTAGGGAGAATTACAATAAAAGACCTTGAAATATATAAAATTGCCTTCAACTCACCAAATTGCTGTCAGAGACCAAGTCCTAAATATAAATTATCAAATGTTGAGAAAATGACAAAAATGCCCTCTTATTCTCCTCCTTCCATGTCATCCGCTCCTTTTCTTTTCTTCTTCTTCTTTCTTCCTCTCTCTCTCCTTCGTCCTTCTCTTTCAACTAAGCATTTGAGGCAATACATCCAACGCATTTCATTTGTATCTGTGTTGGGTTGTACTAGGTTGTGGGTGGGTGGGTGGGATTTTTTTAATCCCTCTTTCAACTAAGCAAGGGAGGGCCCGTCTGGCTCCCAACATTTTTTTATCTTTGAAGTTAGAAAGGATGAACAAATAATCAATTAGCTCAACGAGATTCAAGCATAAGGATAACATTCTGATTTAGTACTATGTTAATTTTGAGATTGCCTTAATTCCCCCCCGCCCCCCCCCCCAAAAAAAAAAAAAAAAAAAACGCCACTGCCCATTAGCTATACAGTTCGCATTGAGCATAATTGAAGGAAGTCCTTTTTTCTCCTAAACTCCATACAAGCGAGCATTTTTCAAACTTATTTTAGGAACTTGTTGATCATCTCTCTTGAAAGTTCTTGCCCGGTTGCCTATTTGAAGATTCTTCAATTATCATTCATAATAATTATATGTTCCTTTATCCATGAATGCAATTAACAGATGATGGCCTGTACTTGATCCTTGTCAAGAAATGTCCAAAATTAGCTTTGATGTCACTAATGTCAGATGGTTGTCTGGGTTTGTTATTTTTTATTATAGACTTGTAATTTTTTATTTTAGACTTGTAACTTTCTATTTTAAACTTATAATTTCTTATTTCAAAGTTCTTATAATTTTTTATTTCAGACTTGTTGTTTTCTATTACAGACTTGTTATTTGCTATTTCAGACTTGTTATTCCTTATCATACACTTGTAATTCTTTATTACATAGTTATTTCTGATTGCAAACTTGTAATTCTATATTGCAAACTTGTAATAACAAGTACTGATTTGGAAATAACAAGTTCAATATACAGAATAACAAGTCCAGAATATAAAATGACAAGTATCAAATTGAGAATACCAATAACGTTTTTTAATCCAAAAATGATATTATTTCCACAATTAAGTTGGGAATAACAAGTTCTGAATATAAAATGATAAGTCTAAAATTGAGAACACTAACAATATTTTTTAATGTTTCCTTGCCATGATAAATAACAACACTTATATGGGAAGTAACAAAATTCTCATGGTTATGACAACAACTATTTTTACTTAATTTCCCTAATCACTAACATCACCAACATATATACTTAATAAATGAGTGAATTATGTTGATAAAGAGCTAACATAATTCATTCTTTTTTTTTATTTGTATTTCACGGTTTATTTTTAAATGAAGATGTAATATTTCTGTACAACTAAAATATCTAATACTAACCTTTAACACTTGCAAAAATTTGTATTCTAACCTATTTCTTTTCCATGTTTCATTTCCATAAAGTAGTGAAGAATATGTTTAAAAATGTTATGAATCCTCTTGGCTTTTTTTTTTTTGGCTCTGCAATAATCTTCTTCGAATAAAAAGCAAAGAATTAAGAAATCACAATCCCAATAACATGCTTATAATTTTGCTTACCAAATCTTTACTCGGCTTACTCTTTTTGTCATTTGGCTAACCGCTCTTGTAATTTAGTAATAAAATGTAGAAATAATAATAACTTTTTATAAAACTCAATTTTATCAGAAAACCGAGTCATAAACTTGTAATTTCAGTTATCAAACTTATTATCTGACTTATTACTTTTGTCATTTAGCTTACCACTCTTATTATTGGGTAGTAAAATATGGAAGTAACTTCTCATAAAACTTAATTTCATGAGAAACCTAATAATAGAATTGTTATTTTGCTTACGACTTTTGTTATTTGGTTTACTGCTATTGTTATTTGAAAGTAAAATATGGAAATAACAATGTGTAATGGAACGGAGTTGATTGACTTTTAACTCTTCACAGCAAATTGGAATGGAGAGTTTTGTATCCAAACCAATAACTGTATCATAGTATAAACTCTTGACCAAAGCTCAGCACATTAGGTCATTGGAAAAAACAAAAAGAAAAAGCAATCAATACTAGCTTTTTAATCTGGCAAAATATATAATTGTTAAACAAAGTGGATGTTTAATAAATAGCACTAAAGATCATTATTTAAAGATTAATGCGTTTTGTAAGATAAATACAGCTACCCGCCTTTCAGGGGAAAAAGAAATAGAGCCTCATGTACAATCATCAATACAGAATAAAAGATATTATATTTTAAAAAAAGAACAATCTCTTTTTTTTGGTTTTAAAAAAAAAAAAAAGAACAATCAAATACATCATCTCTACTCGACGATTATATTCATAAAAGAGATAGGAAAACATGCCAGCCGCATGAGCAATCTCCCACTGACTTTCACTTTGGACCTTTTTTTGCAATTTTTCTTTAAGGGTTTAACCCTGGTTACTTTGTATAAGTGATTGCCTTTGGTCGGAAAATAACAGATGAACTTGAGCTCATGTCAAAATTTCGTTGTTACAAAGTGGCAGTAGTTAATGAGATTTAAATACGTCACTGTCCCACCCAGTTACCCAAATCTGAGACACTATTTACTTACAGAGCAATATTCGTTGTTACTGTTACAAATGAATGTTCCTGGGATGCCTTTGCAGAAATAAAAACAAGAGGCCGAGAAGGAAAACACAAATAATGACACAAAAGGATTCAAAGATAATAACCGTTGCGTTACAATAACCTTTTCGAGACTAACAGAGTCTCTGAGGAAGCCAAAAACTTGTATCGGCCGTGTGATTTCCAAACGAAGATGAAGAGCCCCAACTAGAACCAGATTCACTAAACCCATCAGCAGATTACACACTCCACAAACAAAAAACACTATATTTTAAAGTTTCACAAGTCCGATAGCAAGGATGCCTTGAACTGTCGTATTTTCCTGAGACAAGCCTCTGCTCTCTCCAGAACCAAATCCACCCTATCTTTTTTCTTCTTCATCTTCTTCACCGACCCGTAACACTCTTCCTGCTGATCACAATACTCGGAATCTTCACCAGCAGTGCTCTTGTTCTTCCTCTTCCTCTGATTCAAGCTGCTCGATTCTGCTTCAAACAAAACACCTCATATTCAACTGTAGAAAAAACAAGGGGAAAACGAAAGTGAAGCAGAGGAGCAGCAGAGAAACCTTGAGTATCAGCGATGGATGAGAGGAAGGAGGAAGGTTCGGGGGTATGATGATGATGTTGAGAAATGAAGGACTTGAGTTCGAGCTTCAAATACTGGAACCGATTGGGGTAGAGGGATTCCAGCATTTCAAGCTCTTCTTTTGCCTGCTGCTCCATGTCTTTCTCTCTGACAGTGACTGTAGAACATAGGGATGATGGAAGGAGAAGACAAAGAAAGAAAACAGGGTTATTATAATCAATAACGGGGACAAAAAGTTGGGATTTTTGGGAGGAGGGAAGCCGGGTCGGGGTTGGATTAGGAATTTTACGAGGCTATTTTAGTGATATTTAATGAAAGCTATTCGCGTGTGTACTGGGGATATGGATTTGATGGCTGAAAGGACAGCGCATTTACAAGACGCAAAGAAGGGTCCTACCGATTTCTCTGCTCTACTACTTCTCGGACCGCGTGCCTCTTCAGGATCAGCGGGAGGACGTTTTGAAAATTAAAAAAAAAAAAAAGTAAAATTGTGGTAGGAAATCAAAATAAAAAGGCCTTGGATGCAAACAAAAGTGGGAAAGAAAAAACAAATTTTCAGAAAATTTTTTTTTAAAAAAGGTTTCCCTTCTCATTTTCTTTCCAATTTTCTTTCCTCTCCCATTTTTCTTCATCCAAATGAGGATAAATACAGTTAGCAGTACCATGTTATTTTAAAAAATAATCTAAATACCAAACATATTTTTAATTTTAATTGTATTCCTTAATCCAAATGAAATGATAATTTATTTATTCACGAGAGTAAGAAAAATGTCTTTTTTTTCTTTTGCTAGAAAGGTATATAAATTAATCAATCAAAGAACAGGAGGTAAGAAAAGTGTCTCTTAAAGTTTAAACTAGCTAAAAGCAGCCTTTTAAATCAGAATCGGGTCCATTGCGTAGAAGAGACCAATTTAAAAAATAAAAAGTCCCTGCACCAGGCCCAAGTCGGGCTTAAAACATTTGCTTTTTAAAACCAAAAACTAATTTAATTATAGATAAATCCCGAGATATTCTAAAATGCATAGTGTGATATAATTCTAATAATCCCAATGGTCACTCTCATAAAAAATGCATAGTGTGATATACTCCTCCGGTCCTTAATATAAGACCCATTTAACTAATTTGATTAGATTAAGGAAGTTAGGTAAGTTAGTTAATTATAAGAAAAGTAACACATTTTTTCTAAAACACCATAATCATCTTTCTTAATACCCCCTCTCTCTCTTCTACTTGATTATAATTGAGAGAATATCTATAGGGGTAATTTAGAGAAAATTGATAAATATGAAAAATGATTCTTATATTTAGGACCAAAACCAACTCAAGAATTGGGTCTTATATTAAGGACCGGAGGAGTACTTCTATTTTCTATCATGGAAAAAATATCGCCAAGAATAAAGGGAGAATACGAAGAAAAAATTACGAAACCTAATCCGCATTATAATTTCATAGTGCAACAATTCAAAGAGTATCAGTATATGGAAAATATAGTTCATCATAACTCATTTGAGCATATATCGTTTTTTTTTTGTCAAGTCATATATTGATTTAATTTGTTAATTCAACACAAGTTGATGCAAGACAACGAAACAATATAAAAAAGAGTTGAGCTAAATAACATTTGGCACTAAAAAAATCAGTACTCCTCTTGTACGATGCATAAAAATAACTTGATTTTGATTCTAAATATAAAGTTTTAATTAATTTTATTTTTATATTTATTATTTTTTAAAATTAATTTATTTAACTTATAAAATGATATATAATCTAATATTATACAAAGATATTTTAAGAAGATCATGTTACATTAGTTCAAATTAAATAATTTAGTTAGCTTTCTTAATATATCCAAACCCATTAAAAAACTCTTACATTAAGGCTATAATAAGGAAAATAATACATGAAGGTGGCAAACTCGCTTCAAGAGATTTGTTGTATATCCTATTTTATGTTATCAACACTTTAGTCTTATGTGTAAGTCACTCGTACTATATTTTCACATATCAATAAATGTATTAAAAATTTTCACACTTGCCCCTTATCAAAGGAAATGTGTTAAAAAAAATATGTTGTATATTTTCTCCATCATGTTCATTATTATAGGTAAAATCCGAAAAAGATCATTAATTATCTTGCAAGCTAAGTGACTTATACTATCTCCGATCCTTAATATAAAAGCTAATTTGACATTTAATTTAGTCATAAATATAAAATTTTAATCTATTTTGTCTTCAATATTTATCTATTTTATACTCAAATAATCTCTATAGTAATTGTATATGTTAAAAAGTTACTATCAATCGGTAATTTAAACATACATAATTAATAAAGATATTTAGAAAAAACAACATCTATTTATTATAAATAACTAACTTTCTTAATCCTTCTAAATTTGTTAATTAAATTTTATATTAAGAACCAGAGTTAGTATTTAAGAACAAACTTTTGTTCAAGAACGATTTACATGTGCTCCTTCAAGTCCCTATTATAGAAGCCCTTCTACAAAAAATTCTTGATCCTTTTTACAAGACTTTTTGACAATTTTAATGGGTATAAAATGTTTTTTTTCCCATATATCCATATCTAATGAGAACAGGGAGAGAATAGAAATTGATATAGAGTTGAAATTTAATGTAATTAATGAAGATAATATAACACTACATGAAGGTAACATTAAAAATTACTTAAAATTTATGACAAATTTAATATTTTTACCTAGTTTTATTAATACGTGTGAAGTTTTTGGTGTTCGTTGCACGTAGGTGCACACGCATGTGCTGATGTGCATCTTAGTTTGGATGTCCACATGTGTTCGTTTATGCTTATGTGCTTACATTTCGTAGTCTTATGGTTCTTTCTTTTTTTCTTTTTTTGATTTTTTGTTTGGTTTGAAGTTGACTTTTACCAAAATAAAAGGATGGGGTCCTTTTTTTTTATAAAAAGAAAGAAAAACAAATTGTAGTTGTCCGTGCCAATAAAGATATTTTTTTTTCTTGCCCCAGTAAAGGTAACTTGAAGTAAGAACAAGACAAAATTTACAAAACCCAATCGAAGTAATAATTTTACAATGTGGTAATTTAATTCAAATAGCAAATGTGTATATAAATTTTATTTTATCACAACTCATAAGAGCATATAGACGTGTGATGATAGGTTACTTGAAAGATCCAGATGCGAGCTCCAAGTGCTTAAAGAATGGCTGGTTTTACAGAGGGGACGTAGGAGTGATGCATCCAGATGGGTAACTTGAGATTTTAGATCGAAGGACGTGATCATAAGTGGGGGTGCGAATCTGAGCAGCGTGGAGGTGGAATCGGTGCTGTGCAGGAACCCGGCGGTGAAGGAGGTGGCGGGGGCGGCAAGGCCGGACGAGTTCTGGGGAGAGACGCCGTGCGCCTTCGTGAGCCAGAGGGGGGGGTGTCTGAAGAAGGAGCCGACGGAGAAGGACACAATCTCAATGGAGTATTGGAGAGAGAAGATGCCCCACTTCATGGTGGTGTTGAAGGAAGATCTTCCAAAGACTTCGACCGGTAAAGGGATGGTATCTCTGAAATACGGCAGTCCTGATGAGGCGAAGGTGAAGAGATTAGAGGCGGGAAGAATAAGGAAGGTGTTTGGCCTGAAGATTGGAATGGCACGCAGAGTGCTTATCACGGTTACGAGCAACCTAAACTTATCAAATTCATTTGAATGATTAAGATTTAAAATTTTTAATTAATTATTTTTAAATAAAAATAATTTTTTTTGAAAAAATATAATAGTTAAAAAATTATCTTTATTTTAAATTCTCTACAAATTAAGATAATTATTTTCAAAAAATAAAAAAAATTAAATCTGACCTATTCAAATAAAATATAGATGATTTAGATTTGATGAGTTCATGATACTTGAAACTAGATCCGAGAAAGTCATCATCAAATAATATGAATATCAAAATATTCCCTAAATTTCCTCTAGCCACCAGTAATACCACCCATACCTTTTACTGCTCATTATGTGAAGAGTGGCAGATCCATCTCCTGCATGTAGCTTTGAACTAGGGGAAAATTGGGATTAAGGAGCTTATGGGGAAAAAGTATATAGGAAAAATGACCATACAAAAATAATAAGGAAGGAAAAACGCAGAATATAATAAATAAGCTACACACACGCACACATGATGCGCAGAACGTGGACAATAATAAAGCGTAAATTTTTTATCAAGTCCTTTTTTTTACCACACAAAAAAATCTGCAATTTATATGTTATGTTATACATTTTAGCTTCTGTATTTTGCAATTTTTGAGTATGTTTTTTTTGGTTAGAAATGTGTGACGAAGATGGGTTGAAATTAACGGTGAACGAAGGAACAACTTATGAGCATGGAATGTGTTCCCATTTTGGGTTTAGATGGACCCTTTCTCATAATTACTCTGTTTTCCTTAATTTCCTCTTTGAATTCCTTCTCCGTCCATAGACTAAAAAATGAAGGTTAAAATTTCATAGTTTATAACATATTCTACTATTACATTAAAAATAAATTTTAACTGTTAGTAATTTGATTTAGACTGTCCACAATTGCAATATCTAAAATAAAAGAAAAATATAATTCATCTCATATAAAATATTAAATTTAAATCATCTATCTCTTTTCATCTAGCCATAGAGATGGGATACGGAAAGAAAAAAAAAATCAGAGAAAGGACTATGAGAAGATATGCTTCCACTCTTTTTTCTCTCCAATGTTTTGACAATTACAAGCATATTCCATACTCATCATTTTAATGAGCATTCTATAACTTAATTTGGACTGTCTAGATTAATTTTGAACAGTTAAAATTTAATTTAATTTTTATATTTTAAATGGGCTTTTAGTTCAATATATGCAAAATTTAAAATGAAGATAATTTATAATTTTTACTTCTAAAAAAGTAAATTTATCATTTAAAAAATCACAAATTAAAAATTTTAATTTTTGGACCATTAATTTTAAATTTTAACGGTTTTAATCTCATTATAATGACAGGCACTCGGTGTTCATGGCTATAATAAGCACCAAAAAATAACCGTTGAGAACAATACCTGTACTAACACGAAACATTTGTAAATTTCTTTCACTTAATTTGTTTGCTCCCACTCTCTTTTGTATGATCCATTTGTGCTCTGTTGCTTCTGATTAATAATATTTTGTTTCCACTATTAA